GTGCCCGACTTCCTTCTGAGCCTTCCCCGAAGACGCAGGAACCTTCTCAGAAGGCGCCGCGGCGTCTGAGAAGCCCCGCCGCCCTCCGAGAAGGCCCGCCCGCGCTCACTCCCCCCCGCGCCGCCGGCCCGGGCAGCAGAGCCCTACATCGGGCCTCCAGCTGTCCCTGCGCGTGCTCCAGCTGCTCCGCGCGCCCGCCCAGCGAGGCCGCCCGGAGCCGCTCCTCGGCGAGCTCGCGCTCGAGGCCCTCCCTGCCGGCCTCTGCGCGGGAGCGCCGCCGCCGCCGCCGTCGCTGCCGCCTTCTCGCCCTCCTCCTCTGTCTTCGGGGCTCCTCTGTTTCTTGTTTTTTCTCGCCCCTCCCAAGGTGACCCAGCTAATTATTGGTTGGTACTTGCTCCCAGCGTGCTGCATCGCGCTCTTGGACGCCTCCGGCCCCTCCTCGGGTTCCTGGAGGCGCCCAAGAGGCCTCCGGGGCACCCCGAGACACCTTAGAGCATCTTTTGGAGAGCGCCAGAGAACTCTGCCGCCGCCGCCGCCGCTGCCATCGCCGCCGTTACGCCCTTGTCACCATCGTCGTGAGGGGAGGAGGTGGAAGAGGATGAAAAGAAAGAAGAGGAGGACGAGCAGGACTACGGGTAAAGGAGATCGTGTGAGGAACAAGAGGAGGCGGGGGAGAACACGTGAGGAATGATTCTGGTGATGATGCTGCTGTTGATGATGAATGGTGCTGATGCTGATGAAGATGGTGATTCTGATGTTATTGATGATGATGATGATGATGTTGTTGATGATGATGATGAGGAGCAGAAGGAGGCGGCGGGGGAGGAGGAGAGGGAGAAGTGGGAGAGGAGTAAAGAGGATGATGAGGACAAGGATGATGATGATGATGAGGAGGAGGAGGAGGAGGAGGAGGGGGAGGAGGAGGATGAGGAGGGTGAGGGTGAGGAGGAGTTTTTGTTGCTGTTGCCTGTTTCCCCCTCTTCGGGCCTTCAGAGGCCTCGGGAAGCTTTCAGCGGCCTCTTGGTTCGGGGATCTCTGGAGCACGCGCGCTGCAGCAGTGCATTACAGAGCTAAGCGTGGTCGCTGCAAAGGACGTCCTGGTCAGACCACATGACGATCGCCTCGGACAAAACAGATATGCCTCGAACACGCTGCCAACAGATTTCTTCCCCTGGATGCCACGTGGACCGTTCGCTCACCCCACCCCCCGTTCTAAGTGTTTGCGTTTTTGTTTTGCTGTTTCTTGTTGTCATCGTTCTTTCCTGGGCTTTACGGGCGGACTTTGCCTGGGGGACTCCTCAATTTGATATGTGAGAGTGTCAGTGGCGATGCACTCCGGCGCTGGGTCCTCGAAATGATACCCCCCTGGCTTCTTCGAGGAGGGTCCCTCCTTTCTTTAAGGACCTCCCCCTGCAACGCAACGCAATGCGATGCAACCAGGAAATGCCACGATAAGCAACGCAACATAATGAACGCAATGCAATGGTACACAACACAACTCATGGCATCGCGAAATTCGCGAATCGCATTGGAGTGACTCGCGATTCGCGAATCACTCCAATGCGATTCGAGTCAACGTAGTGCAAATCAACGCGAACCCAAGCAACTCAGGGCAGAACAGACATGCAAACAACAACTAAGCAAACAAGCAAGAACACGCAATGGCATGCAATGTGCTGCGCTGCGCTTCACCGCATTGCGCTACAATGCAAACCAGGCCACCAAAGCCAATACAGACTAACACAAGAAATATGCGGATGCGCGTTCCCGTTGCAGTTGACTTGGCCTTCACCCGTTTTGAGCCTCAACCATTTGCGAGCTTCAATCGGAGGAGGGCGACTTGAGATAATGTCAGCTCAAAATCGATCTCTGGATCCCTAACGGGGTCCGAACGTGCCAACTTTCCAAGCTGCGCCCAGCGGTGACGACGAGGGCCGCCCCCGAAGTCCAACTACCGTTGTCTCAACTGGCCCTCCTCTGAGTCTTCGGAGGTGATCTTCTTCTTCTGGTCTGACCAGCATGGGCTCATAACTGGAGTCGCGCCGAGTTCACTCCTCCTCCTCCTCCCCCTCTCCCTCCTCCCCCTCCTCCTCCTCCTCCTCCTCCTCCTGCCCCTCCTCCTCCTCCTCCTCCTCTTCCTCCTCCTCCTCCTCCTCCATCCCTATTCCTTGTAAATAACTTCTCCCTGTCGCACCCCGAAACCAATTTTTAGGGTGGGCTGGGCGTTTCAACTGAGACTTCCTCACCATTTATAACTCTGAAGCCTTAGAAGTGGCAGCAATTTCACAAATGAAAGGCGGGTCGTTTTCAAAATGTGGCTCTCGCCTCAGCACCGCGCACAGTCGTTTAAACATTTGCAAGTGTTTCACACATTGAGGGCGAGTGGTTTTCAAAATGTGGCTCTCGCCTTAGCGCTGCGCACATTCGTTAAGAGTTTCACGGATTCAGGGCGGGTGGCTTTCAACATGTGGCTCTCGCCTTACCGCCGCGCACATTCGCTTTAAACATGTGCGAAAGCTTCACGGATTGAGGGCGGCTCCTTTTCAAAATGTGGCTCTCGCCTTAGCACCTCGCACATTCGTTTTAAGCAAGAGTTGCACGGATTCCCACGGTCAGCGTACCAGAAATGGTGTTTTGGAAGGATTAAGGATTACTCCCTGTGAGCTGGATTGGCGTGCCGCTCTGCCTCGCGGGATTAGGAGGAGGAGGAGGAGGAGGAGGAGGAGGAGGAGGAGGAGGAGGAGGAGAGGAGGAGGAGGAGGAGGAGGAGAGGAAGAGGAGGGGAGAGGAGGGGAGGAGGAGGAGGAGAAGAGGGAGGAGGGGCCCGGGGAAAAAAGCTCGGGCCGACCACGCTCGGGGCCTTTGGACGTGCGCTCCGCGCGTCGCGCCGGCTGCTGGGCCGGCCTCGCGCGGCGTGGCGGCGCGGGGGTCGTCCGCGCGCAAGAACAGCACCTCGGCCGAGGCGAGAGCGGCGCCGAGGCACCACTGCGCCAGAACGACCAGCTCCGCGGGGCCAGGCGAGGCCCGTCACGCGCTTCGTGGCCCGATAGGGGACCCCACCGAAGGCCCCAGTGGCGGCGTCCACATGCGTCCCCGCCAGCCCTTTACGCACACCCCTCACACCCCTCACACGCTTCGTGGCCCCACAGGGGCTGCACAGCGCGCCGCCGCGGCGGCCCCAGCAGAGCTCTGTGCCCTGCGAGCGGATCGCGTGTCGCTCCGCTCCGCGGGGCGGGAGGCTCAGAAAAGCTTCGGGTGCGGCCAAGAGGGGGTCGTCAAAGAGGGGGGGGGGGCGTAAATTATGGCTGCCGGCATGTGCGCGGCCCAGGGGGGGCCGGGGACGGTTGGAAATAAGAAGAGGCGCCATGAGATCTGTGGAGATATCATGGCCCCCGCCATGATATCCACCCCTCCTCCTCCTCCTCCTCCTCCTCCTCCTCCTCCTCCTCCTCCTCCTCCTTCCTTCCTTCTTCCTTCTCCTCCTTCCCCCTCCTCCTCCTCCTCCTCCTCCTCCTTCCTCCTCCTCCTCCTTCCTCCTCCTCCTCCTCCCTCCTTCTCCTCCTCCTGATTCCCCCTCCTCCCTGCTCCTCCTCCTAGTCATCTCCCCCCTCTTGACCGCCCCCGAAGAGCTCGGGACGTGGAGGCTCGCGGACCGGGAGGTGGATAGCGTGTCCCGCTGGTGGGTCAGAACTGGCGGCGCGACACGCTGTTGCGACCGTGCTTCGGCGAATCCTCCTCCTCTTCCTCCTCCTCCTCCTCCTCCTCCTCCTCCCTCCCTCCCTCCCTCCCTCCCTCCCTCCCTCCCTCCCTCCCTCCCCCTCGCAGAGCCCCGCGCGGGCCCGCACCGGCCGCCCCGGGCCTGCGCCGCGTCGCCCGGGAGGACCACCCTCACGAGAAGGAGAGGCGGGGAGGACCACCAGGAGGCACAGGGACAGCACTCGCGCCGAGGGAAGAAGGACAAGCGGCATGCGGTATCAGCATGAATGTTCGAAGGCCCGCGCGGATTTCTTGGATCTGCGCGGCACCGATCCTTGAAATCCACGCGGACCTCCGAACGTTTGTTCTTACTCTCGGACCGAGATATAAGATCGAGGTTGGTTCGGGGAGGGTACCCCAATGTTCTTCGTGATTGTTGGATGGTCTCGTGCATCCTTGGGGAGGGTACCCTCGAATGTTCTTTAGTTTGGCCGCCGGAGGGCCTCATGTTCTTGAATGATGTCCTTCTGTCCTAGGCCCGGCCGTATGCGGTTGTTCTGTCTTCTGAACGAATACCCCTGCGGGCGAAGGCCTTCAGTAAGCGCGCCCGGGGAAGGAACCGACCAGGGAAGGGTTGCTCCGTAGACGCCCCGGGCCGCTTCGCAAAGCGCCACTCATCGGGGCCGGGGTGCTCTTCCTCGCTTGGCTAACTTCGCTCTGCCGCGAGGCGCGCGCTGCCGCTGGAGCCGTCCGTCGGGGGCGAGCGCAACCAGCACGAGGTGGTGGGTGGCCGGAGGTGGACCAAGAGAGGCCAGGAATCTGAGGCAGGGGGGACAGCGAGCCATCAGTGGCCAGTGTCCGCCAGCGAGTGGCGTTCGCAGCTGCCTCGGTCATCACTGGCGCGGTGGAGGGGAGAAGTCGTGATCCTGGACCTCCGACGCCGTATTTCGTTCAGGACCGCATCCCAGAAATAATTTCGAGCACACGGAAAAGTGTCGAAAGAGTGTCGAAAGAGTGTCGAAACAGTGTCGGACGAGTGTCTCCCAGGGCCCGACACGTGAAAACCGTCGAGTTACTTTTTCAGGTGCTCGAAATTCTTTCTGGTGATCCAGGCTTAAGTAGGTTGGAACACCATAATTCAAGACGTGGTCCCAGGATATCTCGGCCGCTTCCCAGGAGACGCTTCGATCTCGTCCCAGGCCGTGCTTGCTGCGGCCTGAGCGCCCTCAGGCCGCAACCGAGGAACAACCGCGGGCAATGAAGCGTCACCGCGCTGGAGGCCCTCAGAGACGCGACCTCTTTTTCCTGCCCAGCCGCGCTGGTGCCGCCTGCGCTCACCCTGACGCTGCGCCCCCGCGCGCGGCGGCCCGCGCCGCCAATTCACCGCCCGCCCTGCGCCACTCGGACCCCGAGCCTGCCCAACCCCCGGCAGTCGGCCCGGTCGCGTGCTGCTGCAGCCCACAGCACGCCCTGCGCCAGCGCCGCGGCGGCAGGGGCCGCGCGGCTGGCCCGCGCCGCGCCCGCAGGGCCGCTCGGGGGCTCCCTTGGCCTGGCAGCCGCTGGACCTCTCTGGCTCGTCGCGCGGCGCCGCCGCGCCCGCGCCCTGCGCTCGGGTCTCTTGCCCTCCCCCTGGAGCTGCCCTCTGGTCGGCCAGGGCGAGCCTACGCCTCGCAATCGCGCAGCCACCCCTGCGCTGAGGCACGGCTTGCCGCCTGTCTGCCCGCTTCGGTCAGCCGCTCGTGCTCGGCCGTGAGCGCCGCGCATCGCCCGCTGCCGAGCTGCTCGCTGCGCGCAGCCTCGTCGATGAGGCGGTTGGCGAAGGCCGCCTGCGCGACGAGCGCGAGACCCACGGCCTTGCCCGCCACGGCGGTGCGAAGCTTGCGGAAGCAAGCGGCCACCAGCGCGCGCGTCTGAGTGCCGTGAGCGGGCACGGAAGCTCTCGCCTGCATCTCCTCCAACACGCGCCGCTTGGCACCGGACCTGGGCGCCACCTCCAGGCCCACAAGACCCTCGTCTGGCCGCGTGCCAGGAAGCAGCAGCAGCCGCGGGTGCAGGCAGCCCGCCGCAAGCACGGCGTCCAGGTCCGAGAGCACCTGTGCAGAGGCGGCCGCGGCCGCGACGTCCAGCGCCTCCTCGACGAGCGAGGCCACTGCGGGTCCCGAGCACAACGCCGCCCGGCACCGCGCCAACGTGGGGGAATGGAGCTTGCCAGGGAGGTGCTCCGCCGGAGTCCGCATCCGCTCCAGCGATAGCGCCGCCTGGCGCCGTAGCCACCACTGCACCCGCGCGGCGACGTAGCGGGCGCGGCGCTGCAGGGGCGGGAGCACGACGCTCATCATGACCTTCCGGGCCACCACGCCGTCTGGAAGGAGGCCACCGCAGGACCCGCTCGGCGCCTGCGCCTGCGCCAGGCCGATGTAGGCCATGGCCTGGCCGCCCAGGTGCGCGAGCAGCAGCGCGACCTCCACCTCGGCGAGGAGGCGGCGCCACGCCGCGCCGGCGCCGAGGGCCTCTCCAGGGCAGGGCACCTTCGCGACCTCCTCCACGAAGGAGGCGTACCCTTTTGCAGCGCCACCGAACCCCGCCCACAGTTCGGAGAGGGCCTCGGGCATGCCTGGGCCAGCCATCGGCCCTCCTCGGCCCCCGCAGGCACCCGACGCCACGTCGGCCGCGAACTGCTCGAGCTCGTCCTGTAGGGTCAGTGCCCCTACGGCCGCGGCCGCCCCCAGGTCGGTCTGCATCCGCTGCACGGCGGGCCCCGCTGCAGAGCACACGAAGCGGGCGTCTTCCAGCACACCTCTGGGGTTCACCCGCTGCGCCCGCGCGTCAGCCTCCTTGGCCTCAAACTCCAGCTGGCCCGCGAGCGTGTCCAGGCGCGGAAGCCAGCGCTGCGCCCGCTGCTGCGCCCGCGCGAGCAATCGCCCCTCCGAGTCGTGGTCATGGCTGCAGTCGGAGCCAGGGGTTCCCGGTGAGAGCAGCTCGCAGATCTCACAGCAGAGCTGCCCAGCGGGCTCCAAAGACACCAGCACCGCCGCAGCCTCGCGGAACAACGCGGCCGCCACGCCCGCGTCGAGCCACGTGGGTGCCAGCACTGGCGCCGCCGCTTCCTGTCGTAGCGACGGCGGCCGCGACTTTGGCGAGGCCAGCGGCGCTGCCACGGTTGCCTCCGCCTCGGCGTCGCACTTGGTCTCCTCGCCAGTCGAAAAACAAAAAGTGGCACAAACAGCACTTCTCGGAGGTCCGCGCAGATTTCTGAGATCGGCGCCAAGCTCCGAGAGTTGACGTTTACAGTCGACCCGTACCATAAGAACGCACGATAAGGATGCAAGGACCCTGGAAGGCCATGTCGAAGCTTCTCGAGCGGGGCGCGGCCAGCGAAAGTGGCCAAGGATGGACCGAGGAGGCAAGGATGCAAGGGTGCCCTTCCCAGACATGCGACGTCCTGAATTTTTCAACCCTGGAAGTCCCGACCCTTTCCCCGGGACCGACTTTTCATCCTGCGGCGTACTTTGACGGTCCCGAGGCCCAGCGAGGGCCCCCCGAGGCCGAAATTGGCCAAAAACCTCCCGTCCTGATTCTGTTGCGACGCGATCGTGTCTGGGAAGGATGGGCCGAGGAGGCAAGGCTGCAAGGGGGTATACCCTTGGTAAGTTTGCCCATCCCTCCTGTGCGGGTTGACTGTCTGCTGCTTTCTTTCTGCTGCGCGCCTCGGCCTCGGCCTTGGCCTCCTCGCCATCGTCCCCCTGCCGCTCGCGCGCCTCCTCCGGCGGCATGCCCGCAACGGCCACGATGCGGAGGGCGCGGGACGAGGTCGCCTCTTGCTTGGCGGCGAGCGAGGGGGGAAATATGAGAACGAGCGAGCCTTCCCAGAGGGCTCGGAAGCCCCCTGGCCTTCTGACCAGTTCTCTGAGCTGTCCCCGAAGACACGGAAGGCTTTTTTCAGGAGGCGCGAGACCCTGTGAGAAGTCTGGCCGCCTTCTGAGCAGGCCTTCTCCTTCTCGCTTCCCCCCCTCCGCTCGCTGCCGAGCCTCCATCGCACTGCGCTGGTGGACCTCCGCCGCCTCGCGGCGCTCGCGGGCCGGCGCCGCCGGGGGGGCCGTCCCTCCGTGGTGCGTGCGCGGGGCCATGGGCTGCGCCAGGGCTCCTCGTTCGGCGGCGAGCGAGGGGGGGAACCGACAAGGCGAAGGCCTTCTCGGCGGGACTTCTCAGAAGCTTTCGCGCCCTCTGAGAACCTTTTGTTGGTCATCGGGGAAGGCCTACAAACCTTCTCAGAAGGCCGGGGGACTTCCGAAGCTTCTGAGAAGGCCTTCTCCTTTTCACTTCTCCCCCTCGCTCGCCGCCGACTCTTGGCATGAGCTTGGCTGCCCCGATGCGCCACACGCAACACGTGCCGTGTTGATATGGAGCTCAACGTGGAGGCTGAAGGCGTACGTTCGGCGCGATGCGTTCGCGAAAACGTGGGCCAACACGTGGAGCCAGCGCGCAGCGTGTTCACACGGACGTTTTGAACACGGCACGTGCTGAATTTCAGCGTGGGCGTATCAGGACAGCCAAAGGGAATGAGTGAGGCGGGTCCTTCTAGGGAAGCGGGTCCTAGACCCCGGGGGCCTTCTCAAAGGACCACCCTTCCGTCTAGAGTCGTCTTCATTTAGAATCCCGGGGCCTAGGGTGAAGGGGCCCCAAGACACACACATAAATACACACAAATAAAACTATTCCCCACATTTTCCCATATTTTCTGGGTTTCTGTTTTCCCTCCCACTTCCCATATTTTCTGGGGATTCGAAGATTCATTGTGTCTGTGTGTTTCTTTCCCTCCTGATAGGGAGACAACCGAACACCCGAAACCTGCGAGAGTGGCGAACTCTCTGGGCGGCGCGTCGCCGCGGCGGCCCCAGCGACGCGCTGTGCCTGGCAACTGGCTGACGCGTGGCTCCGCTGCGCGTGGCGGGGGGGATCGGAAAGGGCTCGGGGGCGTTGGCGCCCGGGCACCCGGGACGTGGACGGCGTGCCGCGCCGAGGCGCGTGGTGGGCCAGAAGTGGCGGCGCGACGCGCGGAGCCAAGATGTCCGACCGCCTGGGGGCGGGCCCTGGACACCCCGGGGGGGCCTCCCTCCCCGCGAAGACCGGCGCTCCCTCGGGGGTCGCCCCTCGACGGCCCCGGGGCCCGGAGCCCAAGGGCCCACGAAGAGCCTTCTTCTGCGGGACGAAGCGTCTGCGTGAGCCTACGCTCTCGGGGGTCCGCGCGGATCTCTGGCATCGGCGCTGCGCCCCCCCCGGCGGTGGCTCCGTCGCCGACCCTGGCGCCGATCCAAGGAATCCGCGCGGACCCTCAACAGCCGTCGTTTGCGAAGGCCACAGCCCCGCCCCATATCTCAATGTTTGCCAACGAATGCGCCAAAGGGGAGTGCACTGTGTTGCGAAACAAACGCCCGCTTCTGCGTGGGGGTTACGGCTTCCTCGCCAACCTTGAAATACGGAGGTGAGGGGGGCGAGCTCTGTCGTCTTGTCACTGATACCTGAGATGGGCGTGTACTTCGCAAACGACGGGATTTATGTCCGTGCCGCTTTTGTTCCCATCTCGATGAGGACCCGCTTGCTTCACGGCGATCCTCGACCAGTCGGCTACACGCAAGAGCAACTCTTCGAGTAGGGGATCGACTGCAGAATTCATTTACCCCAGAATTTGTTTTCCTCGTCGAATCCACTGGGAAGGTGTAGAAAGTTCGTAGATCTATGAACATTCCACGTATTCGTTCGTAGGTTCGATGTGGAAGCGAATTCTGGGGTATGTCAATTTTGTAGTCGATCCCCTGCTCGAAAGAGAACTAGGCAAGAGTGACCTCTGGTGCACGACTTCCGGGGGCAGATCCCAGCACGCAGAGGCCAATGCTGGGAAGACCCCCTTGTGGGGCCGCACCGACGGTCCCTCTGGCGAAGGGCCCGTCTTACGAGCCCAGGCCCAGACATGACCGCGTCGAAACAAAACTCCGGGCGGGATGTTCCTGGCCAATCTCGGCCTCGAGGGCCCTCGCCGGGCCTCGGGACCGTCACAAGACGACCCAGGATGAGAAGCCGGTCCTGGGGAAAAGGTCCCAGACACGCGACGTCCTGATTTTTTCAATGCGGGGTTCCTGGAAGTCCGGACCCTTTCCCAAGGCCGGTCTTCCATCCTGACTCGTCTTTTGAAGGTCCCGAGGCCCCGCGAGGCTCCCCCGAGGCCTAAATTTGCGACAAACCTCCCGTCCTGATTTGCTCACGACACGAGCAAGTCTGGGGTCGGGACTTCCGGGGGCTCCGTATCGAAAAAAGCAAGACGACGGCATGTCTGGGCCCCAAAGGTCTCGTCGAATTTCTCGCGGCTCTGGCCGGCTTTTCTTCCCGAGTCGCCTCTTGACGGCCCCCTGGGGGGCCCGGCGAGGGCCCCCCGAGGCCGAGCATAGCCAAAAACCTCCCGTCGTGATTTTTGCTGTCATGACTCGAGGGTGGGTCTGGGAGCACCCGAGTCTAGAAGGAGAAGGAAGAGAACACGCCACGAAGAAGATTCTGAGAGTACACGCAGAGGAGACGGAGAAGGAGGAGAAGGAAGAGGAGAAGGAGGAGGAGAAGGAGGAGAAGGAGGAGAAGGAGGAGGAGGAGAAGGAGGAGAAGGAGGAGAAGGAGGAGAAGGAGGAGAAGGAGGAGAAAACACCACAAGCATAAACTCTTGGCGCTCCGCGCGATTTTCTCGACGGCCCTGCCTGGGGCCAGGCGAGGCCCCCCCCGAGGCCGAGCACAGCGAGACCCCTCCCGCCGCCGTGGGGCGCGGCGAGGGCCTACGGAGGCCGAGCACAGCGGTTTCTTGTGTTATTTTCTATATATACATAGCAGGAAAATTCAAAACATATAACTATATACAGTATTCAACACATTTTCATAATATAAGAACCCAACAACTATTATGAGGATTATTATTCTTAGTCGTACTAGTATTATCACTATTATTATTAGTCTTCTTCTTCTTCTTATTAGTATGAGTATAACTATTCGTATTATTATTACTTCTTTTCTGTCATGGCTCAGGAGGGTCTGGGAGTACCCGATCCTAGAGGAAGAGGGTACGCCATAAACAGAAACTCTTGGCGCTCCGCGTGGTTCTCTTGGTTCTTCGCTGGGCCCCCCTCCCTGGCGCGCGGAGCGCGCTAGGGGCGGATCCAAGAAATCCGCGCGGGGCGCGAACAATTAATCTTTATGGCGTTTTTTCTTCTTCGGTGAGAGTAACCGGTTCACACGGCGATCCGACGTCTCGGACAAAAATTGCAACATTGTGAAAAACCACGACCAGAGCCCTAGACCCCATCATTCTGCGCCATTTTTCGAGCTGCATCGATCTGTGAGGGTCCCGGGGCCCCCCAAAAATAAAAACGCAGGGCTCAGCAAAATTGAGACGCCAGGATCTCAGGGTCTGGGAATACCCAGGGTCTGGGAATACCCGACTCACACCCCAAGCATGCGACGTCCTGATCTTTTCAGGACGGGGTCCATGGAAGTCCCGACCCATTCCCCGGGACCGGCCCTTCATCCTGCGTCGTTTTTGGACGGCCCCGAGGCCCGGCGAGGGCCCCCCGAGGCCGAAAATGGCCTGAAACCTCCAACCCTGATTCCTTGACGACGCGATGGTGTCTGGGAGGGTCTGGGAGGTCCCCGCTTCACGCGGCGGTCCTCGACCGGCCCCGCCGTCGCCGGGCGCAGGCGCCGGGCCGCCGCCCGCCGGCAGCGGCGCGGGCGCCACGGCGCGGAGGCCGGGCCTGCGCGCGCCGCCGGGCGCCCCGCGGCCTGCCAGGTCTGGCCGGGCCCCGGGGGAGCGGAGCTGGACCCTGCCCGCCGGAGCTGGCCTGGAGGAAGAGCAATAGGCGAGCGCGTTCCACTACTCGCAAAAAGTCGCTATACTCGCAAATGGCCCGGATCCGCCGCGAGGGATCTGCGATACATCGCATCGAGCCAGGTGTGTTTCTATTCGGACGTTTGCGAGTAGGCACTTTGCGAGTAGTGGAACGCGCTCGGTGAAAGAATCAATGTGGACATTGACCCAAAAGTAAAACAAGAAGCAGGGCGGAGAATTTTGGGCCCATTCCGGCCTCGGGGGGCCCTCGCCGGGCCTCGGGGCCGTCACAGAATGACTCAGGATGAAAAAACGGTCCAGGGGAAAAGGTCGGGACTTCCACATAAAAACATCAAACACCAACAAAAAAAAAACAAAAACAAAAATCCAAAAACTATTCCACGAAAAACATTCCAAAACAGAGCAAAACCACCAAAAATCAATTCCAAACCAGAAGCAACAAAAGAAGCACGCAAAACACGAACAAAAAAACAAAAACAAACCAATTCCCAACAAAAAAAAAATTCCAAAAACCAAGTAATCCAAACAAAATAAAAAAAAATTCCAACAGGGGACCCTGTGGGGAGCGGAGCTGGAACCCTGCCTGCCGAGCTGGCCTGGAGGAAGAGCAAACAAGTGTCACGCGTGCCATGGCTCCTGTACATAGAGGGGGTGGAAGAGGAGGAGGAGGAGGAGAGGAGGAGGAGGAGGAGAGGGGGGAGGCAGGAGGAGTGAGGAGGGAGGTAGGAGGAGGAGGAAGGAAGTGAGGAGAGAAGGACGAGGAGGAGGAGGAGGAGTAGGGGGGAGGAGGAGGAGGAGGAGGCGCGGAGAGGTAGGAGGAGGAGGAGAAGGGAGGAGGAGGGGAAGAAGGGGTGAAAAAGAACAAAGATTAAAAAAGGGAGGGCCTGGAGGCATAATAGATAACATAGACATTAACCCGGCCCCAGCCGCGACCCCAGCCCCAGCCGTGGCCAAGGCCGTGGCCGCGGTCCCAAGGAAGGTCCCGCATTCAGGGTCGGCGGCGCTGGCCGTGAGGCCTGCAGCAAAGCGTAGACATGAACTTTCAGTGCGGACTTCTTGGATCGGCGCTGGGCCCCCCTCCCTGGCGCGCGGCGCGCGCCAGGGGCGGCGCCAGAGGCGCCGCCAAGGGGCTCCCGCTCCGATGCAACAACTCAGCGCGGACCTCCGAACGTTTCATGCCTACGCCACGTTTCGTTCCCCG